CCCTTCTGTGCGGGTTTTCATTGCATGAAAACATTCAAAAGCCACCATAATGTTGTCTGTTATAAGTCTTCCAGGCACGAAGGCACTCTGTGTGTCGTGGATCACTACACTCAGTACCTGCTTAAGTCTGTTAGCAAGCAATTTTGAAAATATCTTGTAAATAACCCGGCATAGGCTTATGGGGCGGAAATCTTTTGGGCTTGTTGGCTGTTTTACTTTTGGGATTAGTACAATGAGTGTCTTATTCAATTCCGGAGGAATAACCCCTTCCTGGAAACATTTTTGCAGTTTAGCCACTATCACCGGACCCACTGTACCCCAGTTTTTCTGGAAAAAGAGCGCTGGTAATCCATCGACCCCAGGCGCTTTCAGAGGACCCATCAATTTTAGTGCGGCCCACACCTCCTCCTCCATAACAGGTTTGAGCAGCTCCCTATTCATTTCTTCAGTAATTCTTGTTGGAATCGAGTCTAGGACATGTTGAGATAATGGTTCTGGTCCCGCCAAGAATAGCCCTTTTAAATAGTTAACCACACACTGTGTAGCTGCTTGCTGACCCTTGTAAATCTGCCCTTCCTCGTCCTTCAGTTCAATAATTGTGTTTCTCCTGCGTCTCATAGAAGCTTTTTGGTGGAAGAAATTGCTATTCAAGTCCCCTTCCCTCAGCCAGTCATTTCTTGAACGTTGCTTCCATAGCATTTCCTCTTGTTGCAACAGCTCATTTAGCTCACGTTCTAGTACTTTCCTCTGAATTATCACTGCCTTATTTTTCTTCTGCCTTGTAATCTTTTCCAGACTCTTCTCTGTTTTCTTTTTCCTCTTCCTTATATCCCCAAAAGTAGCTTGACTCCATTCTTTTAGTTGCCGTTCACATCCTTTAATTCTGGATTCGAGACTCCCATCAGGGTTTTTATTCCATTCCTGCTCGATCAGGTTTGAGCAATCTTCATGTTTCTGCCAGAAATACTCAAATCGAAACTGCCTGCCCCATTTAATTCTGTTATCTTCTAATTGTAGTTTTAACCTCAGAGGTAGATGATCCGACACCCATCTAGGGAGGTGATACACTTGAGCATCTTTGAATCTGCTCCTCCACTCAAAATTAGCTACCATGCGGTCAAGTCTTTCTTCTAGGAAATCCTCATCCTCCCTGCCATTGTCCCATGTAAAAATGTTCCCATTATATCCCAGGTCCTCCAGTCCACAATCGTCAAGTGCCTCTCTGAAACCTTCCATACAATGCTCATCAGGCAGTCTCATCCCATTCTTTTCCTCGTAGCCCAGCACTTGGTTAAAATCCCCCATCACCAACCATGGCAAATCACTATGCCCCTTAAGTCTCCTGAGTAAATCCCACGTCTTCTTTTTGTTTCCATTCTCTGGCCACCCATATAGGCCCGTTAATCGCCAGGCCTTTCCTAAGTCGTGTTCATCAATTGCCACATCAATGTAATTTTCCTCAAACTCCTTTACTGTAACCTTTACATGATCCTTCCACATTAGTATTAAACCTCCTGCTCTATTCCTCGATCCCACTCCTTTGCCCTTTTCCCATCCCATAGCTTCCATTGTTGCTTCCCACTCATGCTCTTGTTTCTTTGTTTCCATTAAGAAAACAATATCGGGGTCTTGTTCTCTAAGTAGCTCTGCTACTCTCTTCACTGTCGTGGTTTTCCCCAGTCCACGACAGTTGTAACTTATGAGACTCATTGGGCTAGGCGGCCTTGTGTTTTCACAAGGTCCGCCTTTTCGCCATCCAAAGTTTCGTTCTTCATTCCCAAACTACTATTCCCGGTATTTTTACCAATCCCACCTCCTTCCGTCTGAATGTTTTGGACTTGTATGCTCTCAGGGTACTTCGTGCGCTTATTGCCTTCCTCACCCAACATGTGAATAGTCTCCCTTCTTGCTTCCTTCTGCCCACATTCCTCCTCCTGTAAACTTCTTTTCTGAGGGGTCAGTTGCAGGGAAGGCTTGCTGGAGCCAGTTCCTTGTTTAGGGGTTTGTCTGTTCCATTTCTTTGTCCTCGATCGGATTTGTGTTGTGCTGACCGACCCCATGCTAAAACTTAACAAATTGCTTCCTTCCCTTTCATCTTTATCCATTTCACCCATGTCTGTCTCTCCCCCGTCCACCTTGTCTCTCCTAGTCTCCATTTCCTCTTCCCCCTTCTCTTTCCTTTCTTGGACGTTTGTATTCCCTTCCTCTTCCATCAGTACTTCCATCTCCCGAGCTTGCCTTATATTCCAAGCCTCCTCCGCTGATCCTTCATAGGGATCAGGGTGATACTTCTCACTTTCCTTTACCCCATATATTTGCCTTTGTTTCTCATAGATAGGGTTGGCTTCGGACTCTGTCCCTTTCCAGCTTGCCTCTGGGTGTCTCAATGACTCCAACCTTAACTTTTCAGTCGTTGTTTCCCTGTCCAGTTTCGCTCTCAGGGCCATCCACATTTCATCAGTCTCCTCCTTTTCTTGCCTTGATTGCCAGGTTCTTCCTTGTGGTGTTCCCAATCGTAACTCAGGGCCAAACTTATCCTTATCCACTGTTAATTTCGTTGGACAATAGGCTTTGGGGTGGCCTACCAGACCACAGGCAAAGCAGAAAAGCGGGAGCTTTTCATACTTCACTAGGAACTTCATGATTTCACCTTGAACCTTCAATTTTAGCTCCTGTCTCAGCGGTGTTCTAATATCTTTCCCTACCCTTATTCGCAGGTAGTCATCCCTTACCGTGTCCACCCGAGAGTCCACCCATATTAAGGTGCCAAATTTTTCAGCTATTTTATGTGCCATTTCGGATGTCTTTAGAGCAGCCAGTAAGCCAAAAATTTGTATCCAAATTTCCATAGTATAGAACTTCTCCTTCAACGGCTTGTGAAAAGCATCTGCAGCTCTAAATATTATCAGGTTGTTGTCATAATGCCAGGGCCCCCCACGGAGCACCTTCTCCCTGTCTTGCTTGTCAAGGAACTGGAAACCATACAGCTGGTCTCCCTTTTCAGTGATCTGAAAGGTCTGTCTCAGATTCCACGCCTTTGTTAGTGCTATCTTCATAGATTTGAGATTTTGTTTCTTATCTGCTAACAATCGTCCCACTAATCCCAACAGGTTCACTGCCTTCACCATTACCGCGTCATAGTCCTGTTCTTCCACCTCCAGCGCATCATCCTCATCATCAGACGTCAAGCTTATGTTCTGTATCTTGTTTTCCAAGGCTTCCGGAAAAGAAGCCTCCTTGTCCACTATTTTCAGAGCCCTCGTGTGTCCTTCTTCAGCCATCACTGTGCTTCGTATTATTATTTTTGATTGCCCTGTATCTTCGTCTGCTTCCATGTTGCTGAGATTTTCTCCTCTGTTGTCCTTTTGCACCTGCTCCAAATCTGCATCCTTCACGTCCTTCTCTTTGTTGGTCATTTGAGATCAAGACTAACAACCCTCGCCTCTCAGTCTAAAGAAAAACTCTCACCCTTCCCCCCTAAGCCGCAAGAGGCTTGCTTAGGTATAACTTTTTTGTCGAGACCCTCTGAGTTATGGGAAACACAGAGGAAACTCTCACTCGGCCCCTATCTAAAGCTATCAGGCTGATCGCAATATGACAATCAGCTGTAAACTAAATCTCTCTTACTCTCTGATCACCCCAAACCCTATGGAATAAGCTTAAAATCGACTACCGCCGTCCGTCAAACCCTAGATCTCTGAGAAAAACCCAAAGAGACTCCTATCCGACACTCTCGCTAAACGAGAGAAACTTTGAGAAAAACCCCCATAAAATAGTAATTTATTATAACAATTGTACTAATCATTAATCATTGATCGTGCAACCTCGAAGCCTAACTCGTGGCCATGACATATAACTAGCTTATATCTCCCACTCGAAAGTTGATTGACGATATGGTGATCTCGATTTGACTAGCCGAACATGACAAACTTGTTCCCGGAGTCAAACGGTGACCGAAGATTTGAACAACGTCTACATTAGTAATAACTATATAATTTTTTTATAATAATAATAATTATATAATTAAAAATCATAATCACTCCCCTTCCCCTCCACCCTCTCATAGTCTCATTCCTTCCCTTGCACCCCAATTCAGTATAAGTCCAAATAGTAAATTTGCATTCACATTTTACATTATCTACTACTACAAAATAACTAAATATAACCAAATTCCTTAACATACCATTTGGTATAAATGAATTACATAAATTTTTAGGAATTCATTTTAAAGTGAAATATTTTTGTGTTTGGTATTTAAAAGAATTCATTTTCAATTCTAAATTTTGAATTCTATGGAATTGAAACTAGTTATTGCAATTTCGAGGAATTGAGATGGAATTTTCAAATGAATTCCACACGTATTTACCAATTATGATAAAATGACATAATTATTCTCATTTATTAACAAAATTACTTCTACATATATTATTTGGCGCCAATTCATGCAGTATGAGGAACGTCGACAAGAATTTGATTGTAACGCTAATAGCACATACCAAACACAAGAATTCAATTTAAAACGAAATAAATTCTAGATTCATTTGGTACCAAACGGTCTGTAAAACTTGTGTTTACCTTCCTCTTTGGCCCATTCCCAAACACAGTGTAAAAAATACGAATGATATTTTGAGGAAAAAAAATGTATATGCAACCGTATTGATAATATTTTTTCCAATTAACGAAAAACTGAGCTAGTTTAACCGATAAAAAATAATTAATTATTTTTCTCTCGAGAAAAACAAAAGTATTATGTAAATATTGATATATGGATGACCATTGCCATTACCACATTAGATGCTCACTTGGGAGTTACAAGTAACCTCATTCCTACATTTGATAGCTCCTTTATGTTTCATTATCTCTCATTGATATAAAGATGTAGCGTTTATCAAGGTGTGCCTATAAATAAAACACACCATTATATCAAAAGAGATAGAATAAATAAGAATAACTATTTTCCTCTCTTCTCTTGTATATTTCACTCTCTAATCTTCTCTTATAATTGTTTATATTTTCCATTAGTTTCATAAAAAAAAAGCCAATCATTCCCGATAGATTATTTTCCTCTTGGGAGGAATGATCTTTCGGATAGAATATGAGTCAGGAATGAGCAACGACCCAACCGCAATGAATTGACCCAATTTACCAAAATTTCTTCCCTCATTTACGGCCCTCTGAGATTATCAACTTCAACGAGGAGAGCAAAGTACGCGGCACGCCGATCTACACAAACGCCACATCACCGCCCGTCCACCGCACAGCAATAACAGCAACCGTGCGACCCCCTCTTCCCATTTTCCCCGCCTCCTTTCCTTCTCCCCCACCGATATTATCCAAAACCCACTTCAAGCTATAAGCTTTGGAAGAAGACCGAAGCAGAAGAGCAATCCTCTAGCTACCCAGAATTTCTTCACACTACCCATTTGCCGTTTCGCCCGAACATGATGACTTGGGATGGTTTTGACGATCCTCAGCCTCATCGTCGTCATAATCATCATCAGCTGCCCGACGCCGGCAACGACCACCAGGACGCTTACCTGAATTTCGATTTCTTATCTCTCGTCTCCAAGCCCCAGGTCCTTTATTCAACTTCCCCCCTCTACTTTTGACTCTCTAGTGAAAATTGTGCGTTTTCTGTGTGTGGTGAATTTGGGTAATTTGTGGAATGCAGGATTACTATAAGATACTCGAAGTCGACTACGATGCTTCGGAGGATGCTATTCGTTCCAATTACATACGGCTCGCCCTGGTTTGTGTCTCCTCCTCCCACAATTCGCTTCAATTTCACTTCCAGGGGATAGGGTCTTGTGATTTCCCGACGGTTGCTGTTCTTGAAATGAGGAGACTTGGTTGTTGTTGGTACCCAGGTGAACTGATAGTATGCCTCCCTATTTTTAATTTTGGGTTTTTTCCTTTGTGGATTGTAGAAGTGGCATCCTGATAAGCATAAGGACCAGGACAGTGCTACTTCTAGATTTCAAGAAATAAATGAGGCTTACCAAGGTTAGTTTCTCATTTCGTTCTTTAATCTACTTGCTTGAATTGCTTTCTGTCCCTCGTCAATTCGTTTGATCGAGTTATAGACTTGTCATGAGCCAGATTAAGAGGTAGGTGTCAAATGTGGATGCTCAATGCTTCTCTCCTTTATAGCTGAAGTTTAATTGGAATGTTAGAAGGTTCTGCTTGTGGCTACTGGCACATGGTTTTGAAGCGGCAGCAACGGGTGTGGTGCCAGGGTAGTGGTTTTTTGTGGGGATAATATGGGGTTCATAGTGAAGCTTGGACCCCTTGCATCCATTTATCCTTTTGCTCTTTCTTTGCTGTTTGTCAAGGGAACACATGTGTCTTTGTTCCCTTCAAAGGAGTACAATTGTCACACTTACCGGTGAATTCCTGGCAAGACCCACCTAACTAGCTCTTCGAACTTTTGGATTGGTAAACGAGTCTTGACGTTCATGTTGCCTGCCACAGTGTATATGTTTCTCTTACAGTTTTTTGTTGCAGCAAATGCGTAATTTGTCAATTAATTTTGTGGTTTCAATGCATCTCTCCATCATAATGGCTACCAAGTTATGCTTTTTCATTATAATAACAAATAAAGTGTTTCAAGGAGTTGCCAAAATTCTCTAACTGCCGGTGTACCATATAAAATATGGGACAGTATGTCAGTTCGTTGCCTATCCATGGTTGTTTATGTTGGTTTTAGTGAGTAGTAAATGGTACACTATTTCAGTGTTTTGTTGTATTGAGGAACTCAAATATTGCCTAAGTTGCGGAAAATTGAATGAGGGTGAGAGGCCTGATCTGATGTTTCAATCATATTAGTTAGAATCTTGGAAATTGGAGTTGCCATATCCCAGGAGTTGATTAAGTCAAGCTTGACTCTTGCAGAATTCAAGTGATGCATAACCAAGTTGCTTCTTGGAGGAAAAACAAAAGATTTTTAACAATACCTAGGTTAATTTGGTTATAGGTTTGATAATCCTCATATAGGTCTGCACAAGCTAGTACTAAAGGAGAGGACTGATGGCTCGTAATCTCATTATCCAGACCAAATATCTACACACACTTTGTAAGTACTTTGAGAAGACCAGGAAAACTATGTAATTTACCTAGCCTATGTTGTTACTTGTTATACAATCTAAGCCCCTTTTGATTTACGGACTTTTTATGAAGTAGGAAATTATTCATATCAGGAACTTGGCGTAAGCTGAACCTTTCTGCTTCAATCTTTCATGCCATATGCTGGGCCTACAAACTACCCATTTCAGTCCTGCACCATGATTGGTTCCGACAAGTCTTGCATGCTATGATGCAAACAACATGGAGTGTTCGTGGTAGCATTGCATGATAATTGATAAATGAAGCTCTGACTCAAATTTCCCTTTTTTGACATGTCATTAAAAAAATCAGATTTGCCTGTTTTGATATGTTCTCCGCAAATACCTGACAACTCTTATTGTTTTGAGCGTATTGCTCATTAAGCAAGAAGGCTACGAAGGTTATTCTTTTTCCTATTTGCCTTGGATGGTTGCGCATGCTAAGAATAGGAAAAGAGATCTAAGGAGGAGAGGAGAAGTTATCTGAATCTAATTGACAGGTCCTGTTAGACTTGTTCGGAAGTCATCTCAAACCTCAATAGTGTACATTGTGTATTTCTTTGTATTCTCTTCTATTGAGTCACTTGCCATTTCATCAATCACAACTGTAGTTAAGGATATTTTCAAAGCAACACTTCTCACTGCTTAGAAATCGTAAGGAACAACATTTGTTTCGTGTGATTGTTATCTACTGTTGCAGCATTCAGACTTGAGAAAGTGCTTTACCGTCTTGGTCAGAATGGATTTATTCTTTCTGGCTAAGAAGAATGATGTGTAGTACTGTGAGTAGAATGTTCTGTCCAAGGTTGCTAATTGTTGAAGCTGTTGATGTGTCAAAACAGTTTTGAGCGATCCTGAGAGGAGGATGGAGTATGATACTGTAGGGATGTCACATGTCTACGACTATAACGTTATAGTAAGTCTGCTATCTCTTACCTTTAATTCTTCCTGTTGTCCCCACTGAACTAGAACATTTGCGTTCAATCGTTTATTGATGTTGTTGGATGCAGGAGTATCTTAACCGTTATAAAGGGCTCATTCTGACCTGTAATGGTCTCGGGATCAAGCAATCAATTTGGTGATCAGAAAAATGGTTTGTGGCAACTGCAATAGACATCCTCTGCTGTCTTCTTCCATACCTAATGCTCCGAGGTATTGTTTTTTCGGGTGATCGGCGTGCTGGGCAGAACAGAAGGGAGAAGGAGTAGCAGAGTTTTGGATGTGTCAATGTATCAGGGGGATGTAATCCCATTTGTATAAAAAATGCACAAAGAGTTGGTCATCGTAACTTGTTCAATATCAAAGCTCCAGCCTTTTTTATATTTCTTTCTGTGGTTTAGGTTCATACACCCTCCCAAGTCCCAACTGCTGCTTCTTCTAGGTTCAAATGCTGTTGGGGTGATGTGGGAACTTAAAGAACATCAATCTAAGTGGATTGATGATTTCTGGACTTGGATCTGTGGCAATGAATTAGTTCGTATGTTGTTGATGTAGGGTTTATGTAAAATTTTCTCTGCTTTCCAACTTTTTGCTTTCCCCATTTAAGAGCATACACATCAATAAAATTGTAAAACTACTCGCATGTGTAGTTTTATTGCCACAACGGTAATTTGTGCAATGCTGCTCACCTTAATTTCATTATACTTACATTAATTAATTTACTTATGATTGTAGTTAGTTGTCCCAACCGAGTATTGTAATAAAAACTAAAGAATCCCATGCCAGAAAACCACTATCCATTTTTAGACCACTTTGACTTTCCGACGCAATTGTATGATGATAAGTATGGAATGTGTAGTTACATTAATGCAATTGATTTTATAATAACAAATGCTCATGCCATGTCATCTTCTAATGACGACTGCAAGATCAATATGAATTTCTATTTCCAAATGGGGAGAGGAAAGATCAATTCCTTTTTCTATTCCGTCTATGGTGCGCACATGGATATGTGTGGACGAGGGAGCTTCCCTCATTAAAATCGACAGTGTAAACCAGAGAGAAAAAGAAAAAACTAGAAAATTATCTTCTTCTCCTTAGATTGCCCCTTTTCTTGGAGTCTTGGATGAATTCTTCCTTGCTCTGCAAGGTGTTTTCTCCCACTGAAATTGTTCAAAACCCTAATTTCTCACTCTATGAGCTCTCATTTGACAAGTGTTGAAAATAGACTTTTTTTAGTGAAATCAGGGTACGTCATGGCCGCTAGGCGTGACTCGAGGGTTGGTCACGACTTTGAGGCCGTACTATCATGAAACAGTGGGCATAATACAAGTCAAGATTGTGCCCATGATCGTAACTTTAGCGCGCAAAGTATCACCGCATCTTCGATTTTGCTAAAGTTTCCATGCTCCGAGATCCCGACTGAGAACTCTAAGATCCCTGCAGTGATCTCCATGTTACGTCGTGATCTTTTTCGCGGTCTCGCTTAAAGGCCCGTGAGTGAGACTCAATTCTTACAAAGTTAAAAGATGATACAACTTTAAATGAACCTGTAGACAGATTGAGGATCAAGTCGGACCCGACTAGGTCAGTAGGTATCTAGGAACAGACTTTCCGCTCTAGCTATGAGTATAATAGTGAGATAGTGGTTACTTACAGGGGCGGAGCTAGGTGGTGCTTCGCCCCCTCCCCCCCCCCCCCCCCCAGATTTTTGAAATCACGCACAAAATTCTATTGAAGTTTGAAGAATTACATATAAAATGAAGATTAGTATAAGTACATAATGAAGCATAAGATTTGTGTGTAGTCCAGCGGAGCAGAAGTTGATTGTTGTCATTCATGGTCTTGGTTTGAAACCTGTTGGTAGCAAATTGTTATTATTTTTTAACCTTCTTAATTGAGCGTGACCAAAGACCATATTAATTTTTTAAACCTTGTTAATTTAGTTTTACCATGAAGCATATTTAACTTTCATAATTTGTTTTACAAGTCATGTAATTTTGAAGTAGCTTAATTATGTTCTTCAAATTTTAAATTTATATTTCTAATAATAGTTTTGTCATTTTCTTTATCTCAAATATTACAAATAAATTATAAATAAATACAAATATTGACTTGGCAACATGATACTGACTTGAAAAAATACACGTGACGGTTACATTTCAAAATTTTAGTATTTTAACTAAGAAAAGAGTTACAAAAGTACTCAATGTAACAAACAAATTACTAATATTTTGATGTGTTGCAAAAAAAATTATATTTCGAAAGCCTTAACTAATAATTTGAAAAATTTAGTTGATAAATTATATTTATATAAAATTTAAAAAAAAACATACAAAAAGGTAAATTACAATAGGGAATTGAATTATGAAAAGGGGAATATGCCCTCCCAGACCCCAGTTCCCAAATAAAAACGAACTTATCGTTTGCTACGTACGTTCTCTCTCTTCCCAAATTAGCCAATGATTCACATTCTTAACCTCCAAGATTGTCCTCCTTAATTTACTTTCTTGCCCCTGCGATTAACAGCCGTCAAATTTTTTTTAAAAAAGACAGGAAAAAAAAGAGCAGAAAGTCCCTATAAAGAAAAAAAAGATGCGCCCAGCGCCAAGCCAGTCGCTCATTCCGATTCTTCCTCTCCCGTCTTCTTCTTCTTCTTCTTCTTCCCTTTCTGTTTTTTTCTCAGAAACCAAACACTCCGCCCGCCCGCCTCCCTAACTGCAAATCCAATTGCCTTCCAAAAATGGCAGCAGCAGCGGCGCCCATAGTCCCCGACAACCTCACCAGAGACCAGTACGTGTACCTGGCCAAGCTCGCCGAGCAAGCCGAGCGCTACGAGGAGATGGTCCAGTTCATGCAGAAGCTCGTGCTCGCTTCGACCCCCGCGGCCGAGCTCACCGTCGAGGAGCGGAACCTCCTCTCCGTCGCCTACAAGAACGTCATCGGCTCCCTCCGCGCGGCCTGGAGGATCGTCTCCTCGATCGAGCAGAAGGAGGAAGGGAGGAAGAACGAGGAGCACGTGGCGCTCGTCAAGGACTACAGATCCAAGGTGGAGAGCGAGCTCTCCGACATCTGCGCCAGCATCTTGAACTTGCTCGACTCGAATCTGGTGCCGTCCGCGGCATCCAGCGAGTCCAAGGTCTTCTACTTGAAGATGAAGGGGGATTACCACAGGTATTTGGCCGAGTTCAAGGCTGGGGATGAGAGGAAGACCGCTGCGGAAGATACTATGCTTGCTTATAAGGCTGCTCTGGTATGGAAACGCTCTGTGTTTCACTTGAATTGAAGTTTGGTAGCCCGAAATTTAGGATTTTACTGTTGAATCTTGATTGGTGAAGTTAATTTGGGGGAAGATTGGTTTTGTTGTTTCTTTTTTTTCCCTGAAATGTTGTGGTTAAAAGGAGATTGCTGCTGCGGATCTTGCCCCAACGCATCCTATTAGGCTGGGTCTGGCGCTCAATTTCTCCGTGTTCTACTTCGAGATCCTCAACCAGTCTGACAAAGCTTGCAGCATGGCTAGACAGGTGAGCTAACAATCACAGTAAAACTCTCAATTCTTCGAAGTTGATAAGATGGTCGATTACCCTTGTTTCTCAAATATATGTTTGGCTCTCTAGAAGCCAAGCGCCCTAGAATTCTGTATCCTAGTGCGGTATTTTCCATTTCCAGGGGTATCATTCTTCCCATTATTTGTTTATGTGAATTGACGATAAATTGAGTTCTAGGAAAGGCTGGTCACTTTCCTCCGGGTAGAGGTATTCTGATGAACTAGAAGTCAGGGACAATGAATTAGTGGTTGGGGCATTTGGATGAGATTGGGGTTGACTTTTAAGGGCTGACTATTTGATGCTTATGTTTGAAAGTTGGATGCATTTTCATAGGAGAAATTATCGTAAGAAAGCCCTGACCCTAGATATGTATCCTTGCCTAGTTGCAGCCAAGAATTGTAGTAAAACTGGAGGTTGTACGTGATAAGTCAGTGGTAGGACATTTTATGCTGCAAACCGTGGTTTAATCATTTTATACGGGTAAAATCCTGTACCGGCTTGGGCTATACGGTAAGCAGTTTTACTGATTGGACCGTTGGCAAGGTACGGTTTAGTGAACAGTGGTTGCAACCGGTGATTCATTTCCTTGGATTTTAGGCTTGCACTCAAAAATGAAAATGGGTGAATTGGAATCAACTGATAAACACAATCCTGCTGTGTCTTTCAAGTGTTCTTTCAAGTTGCAACCGATAAAGGCAACCCTGATAGAGTATTTTCACGTGCTTGTTTAAGTTGCAGTGAGGGAGGGTTTCATTTGAACTTATGTCGGTGTTGTATGGACTTGAATGTGAGTTTACCCTGCCTTCTTAACGCAGGCTTTTGAGGAAGCCATTGCTGAAATAGACACATTGGGGGAAGAATCGTACAAAGACAGCACCTTGATCATGCAACTTCTGAGGGACAACCTCACTCTTTGGACATCAGATGTGCAGGTGAGTAGCATATATTGATCGATCTCTACGAATGTACTTCTGTAACATGGAACTCCCAGTGTTCAGAATCCGACTCCGAAACTGCCTTTTCACTTGTCGTTGCAGGAACAATTAGACGAGCCCTAGAGATGGCCGGCAGGATATCAAGAATCAACTTGGGTGGGGAAGCAGTCCTAGTCTTCTTTTGTGGAGGAGGTGGGCTTTGAATGTCATGTTTATTCGTGGTCCTGATTATAACCTGAAAAGTCTGTGTTTAGTTTGATGGGAGAACTTTTGCATCGACACACTATGAATGAGATGCTGATTTTTCCTTGTATTGAACTTTGCTTGCGAGTCGCAGTCCCAGAAAAGTATAGCCATATTATCATTCATGTGCCTTCCCTTTTTGCTTTGTGCTTTGGTGGTCGGTTTGGCTTTTATGTTATTTTGACCTTGAACGCAGCGATAACAGTAGTCCACTTAGCCGTGATTTGTTGTTTTGGGGATGGCAACGAGTTTGCTTGCTCTCTAAATCACGATTTTAAAATAGTAATTATCCTCGATCGAAAGTTGCTGAGTACTATGAACTATCAAACTATAGTTGTATGTGGTTCGCAGTTCGGAGAGACTTTTGCCTAGTTGAAAATTCGTATTGCGCACTAACGAAAAAAATGAGTATACTATTCGCCCAGGTCAAAATTTATTAATATGATGATACAACATACTATCATTGACTAATCAATTCTTTACTCTAAGTCCTAAACCTTCAAAATTCTTTACCCTAAGTCATGATTTGTAAACTCCTGAATCCTAACCCTATCGCTAAATCTGAAATCTTTCAAATAGAAAAACAATACTAAACACGTGGAAAACCAAGTCACCCAATCCATGTATATCGCTAGTGCCTAACGACAAAAGATGGTTGGGTTGAATTGAACGTGGCAATGATGGGTTTTCAATCGCAATCTCAAATTGGCAGCCCAATTAGGTCAGCCATCATCCTCTTATATATATCCTATAATCCTCATCTGTTGGGTGTTCCAAATTGTATTGTTGATCAACAATTATTCAAATCTCATCGCGTCATTGGCGAGTCATGGAATGAAAACCTAATCACCACATGCACCGCCCCTACAACCAACTCCAATTATCATTTGGACACCAAGCAATTAAAACGCATCATCAACCAAAAGTCAAAATAGCTGCTGCGAATTGTTGGGGGGGGGGGGGGGGGGGGGGGGGGGGGGGGACAACAAAACAGAGAGAAAGTGTTGAGTGATTGTTGACAAAGTTTGTTTTTCAACATCCTCGTTTTCAGAGGTAGAAATTTCCGTACTCATGTGCGTAAAATAGGTCTCCAACTGGTCAAGGTGTTGTGGACATGGCTCGTGGGGTGCTCACAGCTCACGGCCTAGCCTTGAATCACTTGGCACGAAATTTTTTCAACTGGTATTCTGGCTAACTTTCAAGGTTTAGGTCGTGGACGCGAGGCTAACCGTGGGAATCTCCAGAAAGCTGTCCAAGAGCATGTCAAGCCAAGGCCAAACCATCATTGGTCCGTCTTGGTGGATGGAATGATGGTGATCCCTTGATCTTTCGTTGGTTTAGGGTAAAGATAAGAGAGAAACAAGAGAGAAGAGGTCTCGAAGGCGGCACCTCAAACTAGATAAAGTCAATCACCCTTTATTTTTTAATGTCTTACCAAATGCTACTGACTTGAGACTTCATGCTACGGAGTGAACCTCAATTTCAAAAAGGTCTTAGATGAACCAAGATTTTGGGCCAATCGTCTAACTAATGATGTTAAAGAAGCGTTTGTTGGAACGCAACCCAACCTTGAATTTTATTTTCTTTTCCCCTTTCAGTTTAAGAATTCTAGCTTAGTATTCGAATAACTATATCATGGATGTTATTCTCCTCCATCATATTGTGTTCTTTATCATGTTTCATGATTTCAAATGATTCCACATTCGATCTCTTTCACCTTATTCATTGTTTCTCCAATGCGGTAAACTTGTTTCTATACACTTCTACATTGTGTCATCTGTCATGCACATTGGGCACAATGTGCCTCTTAAGAGAGTGAGTTTGTGTAGTTATGCTTATTTACCAATGCTTATATGTTTTCCATGTGCCTATGGCTTACCGATTGTGAATGGATTACATGTATGACATTTGTATTGTGGTGATTGTGAGATGATGATATAGCATGATAGTATGTGCTTAGAGCCTTGTATTTAGCCCAAAGTTTTTTAAATTTTGAAGGCTCCAAGCAACATCGTGACGTAGATTATATCATCACAATGTTATTTAAATATTTAAATTTTCTCTACAAATATAGTTCCATAAAGTAACATATGTATATTATCCATAAGGCAAAATTCACTTCCATAGCCATAACTTTACACTTTGTGACAAATATAGCCAAGTTTTGAAAAATACACAAAAATAGCCACAAATTTGAAACTACCTTGACAATTATAGCCATTTCCGTTAAAAAAATGACGGAGTTAGAAATGCCGTTAACGCCCGTCAACAACAAGCTGAGATGGCGCCTCGTCAGCTTACACATCCACTCTTAGTCGACGTGTCATGCCACATGTCATGCCATGTCAAATTAAAAATATTGTTTATTACAAAAAAATTAAAAAGATTAAAGAAAATAAGAAAAAACAAAAAACAAAAGGACTCAGTTGACCGTTTCCCCTTCTTTGTTTTCAATTAAAGGAAAAAATAAAAAAATAAAAATTGACAAAAGAAAATAGTGAGGAAGAAGTCTTGCCGACATCATCTTCTCCAACCAATACACAACGTATTTTTACCCACAAACCCTAATCTGCGAATCAATATTTTGGCAAAGTAGCAGCGTCGACTGGAAACAATTGTGCGGCGAAGAAGGCTACAAGGAGAAGCATAAAACTGGAAATCAATTTTCTCCGACCTTTCTTCATCGTCTTCGGCAGCAAGCTCGGTGGAAGCGGCCGCCGGTATCTCCTCTGGATGAATCGAGCTTTAAAAGGGTGGTTCTGGAATATCGTACCTTCAATTGGGGGTGGCTTCGGATCAGTCTCCTCTACTCGTTCTAATCGAGCAAGTATATTGCAGATTTGGGGTTGGCTTTGGATCGGTCGCCTCTGCTGTTGGTTGCTTCTGGATTCCTCTGCTAGCGACGATGAGGGATGGTGGTCAAGCATCGCTCAGACTGGGTTCCTTCTCAGAATCTCCCTATGGCTTTGATTTTCTCTGTTCTATACGAAGAACAAAGATAAAAGGAAGGATGAGGGCGGCAGCGGCAGGGAAGGCCATAAGGCGGGGAACACGGCGGGAGCGGGATGCGAGAGGTGGGGAGCTAGGTGTGGGTGGTGGTGAACTGAATCGATGGGAATGTGAGCAGGTGGTGGGGTGGAATCTACATCTTGCTCCGTTTGTCGATTGAGAGTGGCCGGCGGAGTTGGGGTGGAATTAAGGTGGGTTTCTGGGAAGAGGAAAAGAGAAAATGGAGAGGGGCCGATGGAGAAAGGAAAAGGATGGAGAAGAGGAAAAGAAATAATAATTTGGTAAAGTAAATTTTTTTTAATAAATATATTTAAATTTAAAATCCACCCTGGCATGCCATATAGACGAAATCGGTGGCGACCACAGACGACCGTTTGTCCAGTCAGCCGTCGTTACAGTTCTGTTATATTAATGGACGGAATGGCTATTTCTGTGTATTTTTTTCAAAACTTGGCTATATTTGTCACAAAGTGTAAAGTTATAGCTATGGAAGTGAATTTTGCCTATCCATAATATAAGGTTTATAATGTCATAAAGACTAATAACATCCATAAATTATTCATATTGTTCCGGCTTATAGGACTAGAGGGAGAGGGAGAGGCAACTCATCGACCATTGTGATTGTGGGAGGGCTGTTTCTAGAGGTTGCCACCTGCTGATTGGGCAGTCCATGCCGGCGGACAGGGGTTGGGACCTGGGAGGCGTCGACCGCCGAGGGCTCGAGGCGAGGGGGAGCTAAGTTTTTCCTTCGGCTCTCACAATTTGGCCAGTGGATGGAAGCGCATAGGATTAGGGTCATTAGGGGAAATTGGGCCTTGGGTGGGACAGAGCTAGGATCTGAGAGTGGGTTTCTGTCGCAAGCCCACAACCCCATACTAGTATACTAGTAGTCATTGGGCTCATGGTCTTAATGGTTAACCACGAACTAGACCAAACCAAACCGTCCCATATCGCAAATCAAAGAGGCAAACCATTGACCATACCAAATTGTATTCATGGTCTTATTGTCCGAACCAAACCGTACGGTACAATCTAAACTGCGATTTCTCATATGGTTTGGTCTAGATTCCCCGCCCTACCGTCAACATTGAGTTTTACCCGTACAAGGATTCACAAAGTCTCACAGAACGAGTTAAGTCGAAACGTCGAAGGCTATGTGGATGACGTCTTGATCGAAAACATCATGCAATATTCCCACATGGAGACCTCAAAGAGACATTCGAAACCCTCCAAAAATACAATCTGAAGCCCAATCCCCTCAAGTGCGTATTCCGGACATCCATAGGGAAATTCTTAGGATTCCTCATCACCAAAAGAGGCATCAAACTAGATAAAGACAATTGTGGAAATGCAGCCCTCATCGACTGTTAAGATACCCAAGTCTTAGCTGGTTGGCTGACAGCGATCTCGCCGAAAGGGCGGTATGATTCTTCCAACGGGAATTGCCAGCCCAATTACAACTTACAAGTACACAGCCCCCTTATGCAATCCCTCAAATCCTTGGTTAAGAGTATGAAACAAAGAGACATTATCATCTGGAAACCAACTAATAAGAAAACGCGAGATCTCAAGGAAGTCATGATTTCTTTATTCCGAGAGGATAAACAGCAAACTAAAACAAACATTGTATACACTCATCGAACGTGTCTATAGGGATTAGCCACCTTCCTTTCATAGCTGGAAACTCATGATCTTATCCTATTACGTATATGCCTTACTCCTCCCCAAATACAGACCCTGCATTACAGACTCAGTGGTCTAGCATCCAAGCTTCTTGCGTGCCGGTTAGTCCCGGGTGCTGTTCTTCAGCCATTCTAGGTACGGAATGCTGCCACCGGTTATTGGCAACGAGATGACTTCCGGTGTACTGAGCAAACCCACAGAAGAGAGGGGAAGGAGTGAGTACGGGGAGGGTAATCTCGATGTCAAGTTTTAATCTTTGTAACTTGATCATTCCCTAGAGAGTCTGTGGAGAAGGGGACAAAAAAAGATAAGCTTACTCATATTCATGGTTTGCTTTGACATGTTCCGTGAGTGCTTCCAGCAAGGACTGACGGGTCTTGATTATGAGTAGTTCTTCAGAGTCTGCCTGGATCTGCAAAGGGAAAAGAGAGTAACAACTTAAAGCTTGCTTATTGAAAGCAGATTTTTCTATCAAGAACAAGAAATCCATGGAAAAACATTAAAAGGGAAGGAACTCTTACCTCTCCCTTCCACTCGTAAACTGATTCAATACCTGTTTTCATGGCAAGTTAGGTGTACTTCATTACTTATTCATTTATGAATTACATGGTACATAATAAAGCAGCCAATAAAGAAGCTCAAAGAAGAGGAGAGAGAACAACGAGATATGGCGTAGGTGATTTGTCATGCTCGTGTTCTAAGTAAGAGAAACGAGAAGATTCTTCAGTTCAGTTGCTGCAGGAAGGCAGGATTCTTGAATTACCACATAGAATGGAAGGACGTCAACTTACTTTCTCCTATTAATAGAGATAAGACCGTTAACTGTTAGCTCTGAAGATCACTACGTAGAAACTGAAGGCGGATAGCTTCAGATGACCCAAGTACTCCTTTTTTATAGTAGGGAAAATGATTCCATGTCAACCACAATACACGCTGAACTCTGAAAGGGAGGTGAACTCCACAAAGAGAGTTGAAGAAAAATGACAATCCCTCACTTTCCCTAAGATTGTTTCTTCTATCGGTAGAGACTTAGAGTTGCTGAGCTGTTCCTAATCTATTCAGCCCATCACATAATGGATACAAGCTCAGTTTTCCCTCCTTTGTGGACTAGAATGAAGACGATGGATTCGTAAGAGCGAGGTATGATATCTAGAGACTCAATAGAGGAACTCAGGCATAATCAAGGAATATGAGTACCGAGAATACATAGAAGGAATCATAAGGCAACAATAACCGACAGATTGAGAGGAAAGCTTAAGCATGCACCTGGAACTATATTTACGCAGGCTGCAAGTCTCTCTTTGACAATGCTGTGAGCCAGCTTCTTTCCTGCGAGGATACCAGACATAATTACTTATGAACTACTATGTAATCTGTGATGATTAACGTTATCATTTCCATGCACTGGATTCATATAGAATCAATCAATCGAACCAACCAAGTAAAAAGATAATCAATCAAAAAGTGACCAACAAAGATTGGACTAACAGAGAAGGCAGAACATAGGACTCCAGTTCAAAATCCCCAATAGCACCACCTAATTCGATTCATCCACCGATTGCAGGAATCAATCTCCCCATTGAGGCAAAACACTGAGACAGGAAGAAGCTGAAAGCAAAAAAAAAGGGGGGGAAACCTAACCAGCGTCTCTATTGGGAACGGTAACATAAACGACGATGCTGGGAACAGTGTTGCCGCCGGTTTCCATTCTCACGGTGCTGGATTTCGCTTCCGTACTGAATTTTGCCCTGCGACGAGTCGACGACATTAACCCACCAAATAGCAAAAGAACCCATCAAACAATCCAGCTCGGAGACCATCGAAACCAACAAGGGAAAACTAATAAGTCAGTGAGTGACACAAAGTTGAAGAATTTTTTTACCGCAAGATGGGGAGGAAGTGGAGAGACTGAACAGAACCCGTTTTCAAGGAAGACGAGAGAGTCGGGCAGAGATTGGAAAGCCCCAAGCTTAGCATGCAAAATGCCCCGACAAGGGGCAAGCGACGTCGGACGAAGGAAGAAGAGAGCAGCGGCGTGGAACGGAGGAGAGATGACGAAGCAGCCATTTCTCTGTCCCCCAACCTTATATTCTAGAAAAGGTTCATTGCCATGCCAATGCCATTGCTTTGCTTGCTGTTTTTGGAATTGATGCCGTGACTCGGACCACGGCGGGCCGAACTTTGTTCCTTTGCCCTTGATTCTAGAACGTAGTAATGCACCAGCTCATGGGCCCTAATCGTAATGGACATAACGCCCATTAAGAATCCAAGAGTTTTGGGTTTCGTTAATTGCTCCGTTAGTTAAATTAATGAATTGGTGTATTGTGGGTTTATATTGTTTGATTTTCGTTAATTGCTCAATGTTGTGAGAACTGAACCGGAGCATGATCCGGTAATGTGAACGGCTCGCACTTTAACGATCCAATCAGTATTAGGCTGTTACAAAATCGTTAGAGAAACGATACCTTATAAACAATAATATTTTATGTACAAGACACATAATGTAGTAAAAAACATAATATATATACTAAATCATTGCTTAATTGACAATTTAGTGACTGCAATGAAATTTGCTTTGGATATATCATTTAGTAATTTTCCTTGGTATATATTCACCACAATAAACCCTAGCAGCCACACTCATCATCCTCCAAGCATAGCCGGCTTCTTTCTCTTCTCCCTTTCTCTCTCTCGTTTCTGTACACTAAACAAACCAAAGAAAATAAAAAAATGACTTCTCTTTAGCCAAAGAACAAGCCTAAAGAATAAAGAAAGGACTCATGCCTAGAGGTAGAAATTGGTACGGTATCGTAATCCCAATACCAAATACCAAAATCCTGAATTACACCCTAAAGTCAATCTCAATCTCAATCTCAATCTCAATCTCTAAATAATTTCGGTATCCCAATCTCAATCCCTAAATATTTCGGTATCCCTATCGGTACTTCGGTATCTCAATCGGTATTATCGAATATGAAATTAATTACCTTTACAATTAATAATTAAATATATAAATTAGATTTTATTGTTTAATTTACGGGAAAAAGACTAAGCAAAGAGTTTTGAATTAGAATAATATTAAGGAGAGTGGAGGAGAGGAGACATCTCAAGTTTTTGTTATTGATCATCTTTAATTTGACGAATTAGAGGTTGAGAGACGAATATTAATAGTGATGGAATGATCTGTGTATAATTAAATGACACTTTTGGTGGTATCCCGATCACAATCCCTAATACCGAATAACAATTGAAATTCAATCCCAATCTCAATCCCAAGAAATAATACGTGTGTTCGGTAATACCAAATATACAAATTCGGTACGGTATTCGGTATATCCCAAATACCGGTACCAAACTTCCAACCCTACTCATGCCCACTTTTCTATAATCTTTCTCGTCTGTATATTTTGGAGAATTGGCGATTCAAGCAAGAGGAAGCATGGTTGCTGAGGCCACGTTCTATCATCTTTCTCATCTGTATTTTTTGGAGAATTTTCAATTTTTTGTATTTTTTAATTGAACTTAATGACCGAAGTAAAAACCGGACGAGCGGCTCGATCGGTTAACCACTTCAGCCGGTTGCCAGCCGCTACATAAAACCGCAACGATTTTTAGACTGTGTCGAACCGGTTTGATGGCCGGGTGACGATTTTAACGGTCCGACCAAACGACTTGGCTCGATTTTAATAACGCTGATGCATAAAAAATTATGGCTATAGTTGAAATAAAAAAAATTAATCAATCTCACATAAACTATCTCAAAAATCTCACATTACACATGAGATCTAACTAACACTCTATTTTGAGTGATAGTTGCTCACAACATCAAACAAACACTGTTTGGATTATTTGGGTAGAAAATTTTCCATGCCGTATAGCATTAGAATAAGGAAAATAACCAAAAGGTTGTCCATTGACCATCATAAAAAAAGTTGTAAACACATTCTCGAATCCAATGAATCCAACGATCCAAAAAGCCAAGTTTTCATGGGAAAACAAAATGAAAATGACATTCATTATGTCATATGCTTTTTCTATATCGACTTTGGAGGTATAAATTTTTTGCGGCCCTGGATTTGTTCTTAATAAAATGCATCAATTCATGAGCCACCGGGACTTTATTGTCTATATGACGATTCTGGACAACCATTTTGCTCTGGAAACTGATAGACGGTCGCCGAGAAACTCGTTCTACCACACCTACCTTGGGAATCAAGATCAACCAAGTATGATTAAACGAAGAGGCCTAGTAGTGAAAAGGAAGGAGGGGCAACTACCTTGATCATACTATCTCCAAAAAGGACTTAAAGAGACAACCCTGTGAATCCATCTAGGCCTGATAATCGGTGCGGTTTTGATATAACTGAACCACTTGTCGGTTAACTGCCACCGATAAGTGGCTGAAACAGGCAATCGAAATTGCCATCGATTAAGCAATCAGTTAGCCAAAACCGCCAACCGTAACCATCGGTTCAGTGGTTCGGTTAAGCTTTGACCGAAAAAAATGGGGGAAAATGAAAAAAAATGAATTTGCCCGTCCCCACTCCCCAACCCACATTCTCGATCCTTCTCACTCTCTAAAAAACCCTTCCCTCTCTCCAAAAAAAACCAAATCTCTCTCTCTACGTCTCTCCTCCCCAAATCCCAATCTCTATCTCTGCCTCTTTGGCCTCTGCTATCCTCTCAAAATCAACAAAACAAATCCCAATCTCTAACATGAACGACTACCAGTGATGAAATTGCACGGAATAGGCATTGGATCTGGCCGAAAAGCTTTACCAACTTACTTGAGGAGGATAGCAACGATTTATCATTTCCAACAATGTCATCATCTTCCTTTACATATAATAACGAAGAGTCTCTTAATGCTTGTAATGGTTGCCCACCAATTAGTGAGGAAGACTCTATGGGTGACCAGGAACCAGGACCGACCCATAAGTTTTAGAGGCCCTGTTAGCAGAATTATGAAAAAAATACATAATAACGCGAGACTAATTATTTGACCCATCAAACCCCAGCAGTCCATTCCATAGCCCAGCAAAACACACCGGCCCAAGACTAGTTAAGGGAATATTAGGCCCATTGATGCATTAGTTCAATCAAGTTATTTTTATTTTCTTCTATTAATGAATTTGTTTTGGCCCATAAAAGCTCAGAAGCCATAAGAATAAAGACAACTATAGTAATAGGTTGAGACTTGTTGCCCCATTTTTTCTTAGGCCCTATGTTGGGTGCTTGCCAGCACATGCCTTGGGTCGGGCCTGCTATAAACCTAGTGGTGAGTCTGATGGAAATATTAGCGACATCGAGTCAATGTCACATTCAGATTGTATTTCACTATCACATTTTACAAATCTAGCTGAGGGCATCAGAAATATGATGTTTGGGAGCAATCATTATCCAGAAGCACCTGAAGATTATAATTGGGATGAAACGATAGATTTCTATCCTGGTATCTCTTTTAACTCAAAGTTGAAGCATCCAACGCACTGAAGGAACATGTCACTAGAAGAAACTTCCAAACCTATGTGTACAAATCTAATCCTAGGTGATTGGTCATGAGATGTTCTTGGCACAAGTTTATGGATTGTTGTGGGAGGTTAGTGTAATGGAGAAAGAAGATGGTGAAGTATGGGTAATGCGTGAAGCAAAGTCTGAGTCATACATGTATGACAAGAAGTAAATCTCGGGATCATAAGAAAATGGATTCATTCGGCTTTGTAACCAGCATCGGTTAAACCCGTTTGTGCCGCCCGACATGCCACCGGTTTGACAATCATGTTGATGTGGAAATCATTGGAAAAGCTCAATACTCTGCCAAAGGTGCTTTAATGAAATTTCAACTCAATTTCAACCGTTTTATTCATTATTTTAGTTTTTTTTATGCCCTTTGTGCTTCGGTTTCTGATTTTCTTTATTTCTATCTGGTATAACTCTTATACAAAGTTGATATGGTAGTATATCTTTACTAGATTGAAATTATACTGTTGAACCACAATCACACCGCAAAATACATTTTCAATATGATTTCCGCTAAGATTATATAATCCATCCCAAGTATTGGCGAGAATAGTTGGTCATCATCATATATCAATGTATCAATGTGTTAAATAATATGTGTATGGGAGAGAGAAATCGAGCATTGATTGTGCTTATGTGGATATAGTAGTTTTCTTTTCATTTATAGCTTTCCAAGCATGGATGTTTTTGTTGGAGAATCCACAACCAAATTGGCTCCACGCTTCTTTTCTCCCCATTTTTTTTCCTCCCTTGGCTCTTTCTTAGCTTAGTATTGTCTTCCATCCTCCCCCACCCAAAGTCTATGAGTATATATTGGGGCCAAAAGAGGCCGCTCCTCTACTAAAAGAATGTATTTTTTATCTCCATTTTTCGTTTCTTTAGCTTACAAATTCTATTTTTCTCTTATCACGAATCATGAAAAAAGTCTACTAGGAGTCATTCCTTGGTTCAGTGAACATATGCCATCTTGTCCTTGTATATGTAGACTTTGCAGGAAAATAAATAAATAAAAGATAGATTATGAGAATCCTCTCTCTTTATACCTAACTTGTTCACTCGAATTTGTTATGTATAAGTATTAACTTGATTCGCAAGTATAGAGAGACGAGGCCGGATTAGCACCTCTCTTTATCTGGTCTTGTGTCTCTTACTCCCACTCAATATATTTCCATTGTCTTTAATATTTTCTGGTTTTTCTTCGAAGTCGTCAATCATATCCTTCTTGTATTTGAGGTTTCTTGAACAATTCTATTTTAAGTCACTTTTATTTTAGTTATTATATTGGGTTAATACTTTAAATTGGCTCGAACTTTACAATGGTAGACTACTTTGGCTTGTGATTTTTGAGGTACCCATCATGACCTAAACTATGCACTATCTAGACTATTTGGGTTGGACGGTCAATCAACGTCGACCTGTTAAATTAGTCTGAATGCTGCATAGTTAGATCAGGATAAGACTTTCAGAAACCACGAATCAAAGTAGTCTATTTATGTAAAAATCAGAATAATTTAAGGTATTAAGTATTAACCCCACTTTATTTAATAATGTGAAAATGTTGCCACACTCTTTGTGTGTTTATGGTTGTGTAAAGCAAGGTCTTAGTACCAAGCTAAAC